TTATTTGCATTATTTAATTTCAATAATAAAATAGACATTGTATTCTAATTTGTTTTCTTAATAGTATATAAACATTTTTATATTACTATAAAGTCCTTACCAGCTCGATTTTAAATATTTAAATGATGATCCATGAGCTGGATTTGCCATAGATTATTATTTCCCATAATAGGTCATTTTGTTTGAAAAACAAAATACCATTCAAGGAAACTCAGTGTTAAGATGAACTTCTTAGTACAGAAATCACTAACGGCTAAAATTGCCAGTTTATACTTTATTCACTCATTTCTTTACTAATACTGATTATACACTATCTATTATTAGATGAATGAAAAAAAATGAATGGTTCCTACTTTCATAAATTTCACACCTACCTACTCAGGCGTCAGATGATACTAAAAGCACCATATGGAGCAATAACAGGAGATACAGAAATTCTCTCAGGGGTAAACAAATGTGCAACAGCTCTGGGGCCAGTGAGAAAGTTATGAAGATTGAGGAGTGGAAAGTGCCTAGGTCATAAAAGTAGGAGGAAAGCCAGTTCATGAAGCTCATTCAGTGTGATGCTAGTACTCAAGTAAAATTTAACTTGAAAGTTATCGGCCCCATTAAACTATTTGCATGCATGAAAGTGACAAAATCAGTTTGGATTATACATAAGTGTTGTAAACAATGCATAATAATTTTTATTATAATAAAAACTGAAATGATCATTTTAGTATTGAACTCAAACCCTGAGGGAAAAATATTTTATGGAAATTGAAAAAATAACGATCAATAAGTAAATGGTAGCCAGGCATGGTAGTGCACACCTGTAATCCCAGCAACTCAAAAGGATGAGTCAAGAGAATCATAAAATTCACACCACCCTGGACAACTTAGAACAACTGTGATTCAAAAATTAAAAGGGGGGGGGCTGGTAGAGTGCTTGCCTAGCATGCACAAGGCCCTGGGTTCAATCTCCAGCACTGTAAAAAATGAATAAAAAAATAAAAAAATAAGAATGAGCAATTAAGTAAATAAGGGCTAGGGTGCTGGGCATGTAGCTCAGTGGTAGAATGCTTCTGAGTTCAATTCCCAATACTGAAAGGAAGAAGAAGTAAATTGTTGTAGTCATCTTTTTTGCCACTGTGACCAAAAAAAAAAAAAAAAAGAACATTTTTAGAAAAGTTTGTTAGAGATGCACCTTTTCAGAGGTCTCAACCTATAGATGGTCAACTCCAACTTGGTCCAAATTGAAGCAGAACATCAAGGCAGAGAAAAGCAACTCAGGACCAGGTAATCAGGAAGCAGAGAAAAGAGTTCTACTCACCAGGAACAAAATGTAGAGCCCTACCTCCTCCAGCCACACCCTACTTGTTAACAGTTACCAGTCAGTTAATTCATTCAAAAGGATTAATTTACTGATTAGGTTAAGGCTGTCATAATCCGATCAGTTCACCTCTGAACTTTCTTTCACTGTCTCACACACAAGCTTCTTGGGGACACCTCATATCCAAACCAGAACAATTACATAAAGTGACTTTGGAAGAAGTTCCAATTTTTAAAATGCATGCATAAAGAATTGTAAGCATTTTACGTAGCTCTAAGTGCTTAGAGAAAAGTCCTTCTTCTCATCAAAATATATTTACTTTTAGTTCTCATGGCTTATTGGTCATCATTAGTTCATAGAAAATAAGTAACATTTTCAAAAGGAAATTATCAAGACAACTATATATGCACACGTATACACATAATATTTCTCCTATAAAGTTCCATAACTTTATTTTAAAAATCAGGTTGTCCAATAATATCTAGAGAGTTTCAATTATGTGTACTGAAACACAGAACCTACCCACAGTAATGTGTGTCTGCACTTATGATGTAAGTTCTACAAATATGATCAACCTGGATAGACAAATTTTATTTTTAAATATCCCTTTTATCTTTTATATATTAAACCCAGGGCACAGGAAAAAATAAGTAGAAGCTTCTCTGTGAGTCTGAAAAAGAAGGCTCACTTAATCTAATGGGTGATCTTTGTTAAATGTCTTCAGAGCAGAAAGAATTAACCAATAAAAATGAATATTTTTTTTTTTAGATTTTGCCCAAATTCCTTAAAGAGATGAATGCATAATGATGATTTTATTTTATTCTTAACTATATCCAAAACAACCAAACAGATTTCCCCATGACTGTTACTGGGAATGGCACAGGTGAAGTTAGTTTACCATCAAGCAGATAACACACTATACACAGCTTACTCATTGTTCAGACAGAAGGGCAGTTACTTCATGCTTTATTTGCCCCTAGGTTCCACAGTATTGAATACACTGTTCATACTGCAATTAGATGCTAGAATAGAAATTTCCGGTGCTGACTTGGATGTAAAAAATAGAAAAAAAAATTAAACAATAATATTCCCATATGGCTTTAAGATCTTAGTTGTATTTTCAAAGGCATGATGTGTCTGCAGCTGAGCAATATGTTTTTTCCTGATTCTATTGTTTTTGTTCAATGAAAGAAAAAAGTGGAGCTAAGCTTTTCCTGACTGCCAAAAACTTAGGCTATTGAGCTTCCTTGCTACAACATGGATGGAAATGTCCCAATTTGTATTCACACGCTTTTGTACTTAAAGCACCAACAAGGAGCTCCCTAAAATGAGAATGATGCCCATATTTCTTCTGCAATATTAATCTTAGACTTAAAAGATTTTTTTCAATAGCTTAATGTGTTAATTCTGGGCTTACATAACTTAGTTTTGATACCTTCTAAGAAAAGGCAGAAATACAACATGATTAGTCCTGAGTTATTTATTCTGTGATCACATAAATGTTCAGCACAAGCTTTCTGGATTATGTGTTTGTCATGCTTTTTGTGCCGTAGTTGGCAAAGTGCTATTATTTAAATCAGTTTAGTAGGAGTGTTTTATAACTATGAGGGCTTCAAATTAGATTTTAAAACTAACATTTACATTTCATAAGTCACATTTATTTTAACTGTAGTTTCAGTATTCATCATACTAACATATAACTAATACTCACATACGCTATCATTAAACAAAATTTGTATATCTACTTAATATATGTGTAAAATCATAACCCAGTCCCTGAAGCACAGGAAGCCAGAAGGAAGGTAACCAAAACCCTTTTATTTTTACATTTAAGTAACCTATACCTTATGAGGTCTGTTTTCTCTATGTATTAAAAAAGAAAGAAAAAAATCTAAATGAGACAAAGTTGGTTTTGTTTCTCTAGCAGTTTGACATTGATAGACATTGAGAATCTATGATTAAGTCAAGTATCACACACTGCCCTTCTTGATCTGCAAAGGAATTCCCTAGGTGTGTACCTGGGCATGAAAGGTGACTTCTCTCTACAAGTTAGCATCAAGTCACTTTGTTTTGTGAGCTTCACCAGTAATGTAAGAGGACCTCTGAGAGTGTAGCTATTGGCCCTCAGGCAGGCCCTTTGTGCGTGAGGTCCTTGGCCAAAGGTACTGCAATTCAGGAATTTTCCAATTGGAAAACACTGTGCTATCTGTTAGAAGACAGAAAACACTGAAGGTTTTCATAACAAGACATGCAATAATAATCACAGATATACTTGCTACTTAATACACATGTTTATACGTATATATGATATGTTGTCATGTTTGAACACAATGAATAGTGGTGAGGCTGTATGCAGTATTATTGAGATGAAAATCAAAAAATGATCCTGAATTGCACCTGTTCTTTTGCCTTCTACTTGGCTGCCCCATTTTCTTTCAATCACTCATTGAAGTAAGTAATGTTTCAAAATGAAAATAACTCTCATTCTACATCTCTTCTTTCCTCCTTCCTGATGCCAGCCTCCTCTTTCTGTTAACTGAGTGACAGAGTGACCTCTCTGGCGCCAGCCTAGTCTTTTATGTTTGGCATGACCAGCATGAATGCTCTGAGCTTCCTAATTACCATCGCATGACAGTCATAGGACCCTAACTAACAGGCCTTTCAATACAGACCCAGGAGACTTCTGAGTTCTTCGTAATCCTTCGTGACCAACCTGACTTTAAAATTGTTGGCTGATTTAATTATTTTATAAAGTCAAACTATCAATTAAAATAGGTTATTAAATCTTATTTAGATGTCTTTTTTTTACTCAGGTTATTTACATATAAGACTTTAATGGAGAAACAGAATTTAGTACATATTTACTAGACTTTAAGTCAAGAATAACAGTATTATCAAGGAATTGTGATTATAGAGCTGTAAGCAAAATGAATATACAGGCAAATAGTCATTCTTACCTCCTAACTTCTACCATAGCAGAGAAAGTACAAAATGGGAGTTTTTTTAAAACCAATGAAAAATGGTAAGAGGCCTGTGATTTTTCTCAGAAAAAATAACAATCATTGCAGAGAAAAAAATTTCTGAAATTCTCAGGGTCTAGAATTCTCAGGAGTTAAGTTCTGAGTTATAATTAAAGTAAGCTTGCTTCCTGTCACTCATTACAGAACTCTGGTGATGCACAACAAGATGATTCAAAGTGCACACACATCTGTGTGCTTTTTATGTGCTTTCAAAAAAAGGCCTATTAGGGAAAGAGGATTCCTAATGCCTTATGCACATACAGTTTTGTTTTTCTGGGTACTAGGGATTGAGCCCAGGGCCTTATGCATGCTAAGCAAGTGTTTTACCTCTGAGCTCTCTCCCCAGCCCACACACATGGTTTTCAAACACTTAATGCTAAAAGACAACCATAGTTTATTACAATAAAAACTTTCTATTAACCTCTTGTTCACTTAGGTTGCTACTATCACTTTGTATATAAATGCTTGCCATTTACTTTCTAAGGAGAAAAAATTTCTTAAGCCTGGAAATACATTTTGTTATGTAAATAATAAATAGTATTATCTTCATGGATGGAACTTAAAATTAGTTTAAAATATCTATGAAAATTCCAAGCTTATGAATATATGAATTCATTCCATAAATGACTATGATAACATTGCTTCATATATTAATTTGCAATTTTTAGGAGAAAGGAAGACAATGGTGTCCTGCACAAAAATCATGAGCAAGAATATCAGCATCGTCGACAACAAGAAATGCAAACACTTAACAAAACCAGAGCCACAGATTCGGAAGTGCAACGAGCAGCCATGTCAAACACGGTACCCTATGCCAGCAACCCTGCAAGCATTGTTTGGCTGTTATATTGCTATCCCTAAAGCATACTCAGAATATTATTAGAATCACATTTTCTTAGCTTACAAAGGGATATGTACCACAATGCGAACTTTTAAAGAAGCAAAGTCTAAGAATGTAAGGCTAATATTTACAACTTTGTGTTCTTCATAGTGTAAATACAACCACTTAACTGGGGATGGGGGTGGGGAGATTGCGGTGAGAAGTAATTAAGATTACTTGGTAACCTGTAGATCACCTCTTCAAAAATCTGGTTATTTAGTTGAATTTAGATATTTGCTTTTATGTTCTCTGAAATTATACATTAGAACTTTCCAGAGATCAATAAATCAAGGTAGGGTGGGGCAGGACCAGAATAACTGTAGAATAATAGAGACAGAGTTGTCCTTCTGTTTCCTGAAGCTAGTTCCTCACTTCCTCTCCTCTAGTTCTCAGTGCAAACTTCTGGGTTTCTGACCCAGCTCCTTATTTTCCCAGTAAGTATTAGGAAAGCAGGCAAGAGACTCCTAAGTAGGAGACAAAATATCTATGCCAAGCAGCTGAGAGTGGGCTAGGAGGAGGAAGACCATGCCTTAGTAACAAGAAGATGAAGCAGAGACAAGAATGAACCTGAGTTTAATTTTGGAGAAGCCACTACAGCTGCCATCACAGGACTACTGAAAATTTACATGTTATCTCATAAAAATTAATGTTGAACTTGAGTAGAACTCAGCACTATTGTTAAAAAGCCCTAAATTTTTTAGGAATGAGATGATGAAGAGTGTGAGGCTGGACTGATTCCTTGAGAATGGTAACAACATTATTTATTTTATCTGACATTCAGGAATTTGTTGAGGCTCAGTCAGTTAGGCATGGTTGTGAATTCTTAGGAAGTTAAATAGAGGATTGATCTCCCCTTAACAATAGCTTCTGCAATGGAGTCACGGTGAATTTACACACTGCAAAACTCAAATATGCAAAGAGTTTATAGCTTTGTATTCATCTGTAACTAATATAAACTTTATAACCTCCTATCACAATGAGTAAGTATGGGACAGGGTGAAGGAATAAAAGTGCAGGAGCAGCAAAATTGCAAGTTAACCCATATTTGCACTTTTCTTTCTTAAATAATCTCTGGAATACTCTTTGATGATCTCTGGAGTGTCATCCAGGTAGATGTTCAGTTCTGGTTTTCTTGTCTCCTCTCTTCCCCGCCCCTTCTTTTCTATCTTCAGTCATTGCTATTTCTGCCTCATTGTAAAACTCAGTTCTTAAGCTCTTTTGATCTAGTTCATGCCATGTTAATGGACCCTTAAAAGGTTTTGGAAAAGTACTTTCTTCTTTTACAATGTTCAAATTTCAGGGGTTGCTTTACTGTAGATTCAATATATTTTAAATATTAAAAGCTGTTTATCAGTTTTTCTTTCGTTTTCACTCTTGCTCTAACAATCCTATGCCCATGCAAATATATCCTCCTAAAAGAAGAGAATAATGAGACATAAAATGTTATGCAAAATACAAAAGAACATTAATATACTTTTAATAATATCACGCATACTCTATGTTCCCATGTTATGGTTTTAATCCCAACTCCATAACTGGTGAACTAGTAAAGATCTTTTATAATGCAGGATGATAATTACATAAATAACCTAGGTTATTATTATTTTCAACAGGCAGGTCTTTGAGGCCTTTCCATTCGGGTCTGGACAGATCTTAAGTAGAACTTCTGGTTTTTGTACTGGATCATTGGAATTATCACTATTTCCAAAAACTCTCTCTTTTCATATCACTTTTTTTCTATTAAAATAATTTATTTCAAATTAAACAGTTAAAACATGAATATATTTTTATAAAAATTCATACATTTCAAAGCAAATTTTCCTGAGTGATCCCTTTTCTGTTATTACTGCTCCCAGCTTGGATGGTATCCTTGACAATTAGCTGTGTATTTGTGTAAAGTACATCTATGAACCTAAAGAAATGTGTGTTTTTGTGTTTCTGTGTATATTTTATTAATTGAAGTAGTACCACAACACAAAATTGACCACTTTTTAATGTTCTGTGCCTTTATTTTTATTTATTTATTTTTGTTCTAATCAGTTATACATGATAGCAGAATGCTCTTCAATTCATTGTATACAAGTGGTGCACACTTTTCTTTTTTTTTTTTAAAGAGAGAGAGAGAGCACGAGAGAGGGAGAGAGAGAGAGAAAGAATTTTAATATTTTTTAATTTTTTGGTTATCGGCGGACACAACATCTTTGTATGTGGTGCTGAGGATCGAACCCGGGCCGCACACATGCCAGGCAAGCACGCTACCGCTTGAGCCACATCCCAGCCCTGGTGCACACTTTTCATTTTTTTAAATATTTCTTAGTTGTAGTTGGACACAGTATCTTTATTTATTTATTTGTTTTTATACAGTGATGAGGATTGAACCCAGGGCCTCACGCGTGCTAGGCAAGCGCTGTACCACTGAGCCATAACCCCAGTCCTGGTGCACACTTTTAACATATATTTAAATGCTAAATAATCTATGTGGAATATTTGTTAACATATTTCAAAACCTATGTGAAATAAAACCATTTGTTTTATTTACCACCTAATATTTTAAGTTTTATGGAAGAGCTTTTTCTGATGCCTCGGTAATCTTTGAAGAACTGGATTTAAGGAACAGAACATCTTGGTCACTTCCTAACTTGGTCTGTAAGGGAGCAGAGTGTACAGTACATGTCATTTGGTATTCAATCACAAACTTCAGCTCTCTTGAGGAAAAGTGCCTTGATAATGACTTGGTAAAATGAATAGTTTTTAAAAGGTCAGTACATTTTTGAGTGAGAAATTTTTGCAGCTGGAGACTGGAAGTTTTTTTTTTCTAGAGATTATTGTCTTCCTTCCTTTGGAAAGGAAGGCAGTATATTTTGAATCACCAAGAAGTAATGTCAGTGAGGTTAGCCAAAATAATGGAAAGCAAGAAACGACATGGGCAATTATTAAGGATCATCACAGGAAAGGTTTCCAAGTCTTGCTGGCAGAGCATATCTTATATTTCTCTTGCTTTTTTCCCTTCTCTTCCCTAGAAGTAAGTTTTCAAATTTCCATTCACATGTATTGAAGAAATTACCAAAAGGCCTGATGGAACCATATGTGCCTATATATATATATAAAATGGACTGATACAATAGGAAAAAACTTTTGAGAATATGGCATCTTCAGGATCAGGAAATGGGATAATTGAAAATTAGGTGAATTCTAAATTTATAATTTCATTAGTGAAAGGAAAGTGACCACAACACTCGGAGCGACCAAGAGGTCTTTATTGCAGCAGTGAAAAAGAGGAGAAACAGAGAGAGAGAGAAATAGAGGGGAAAGAGAGAATAAAGTGGGGGGGGAACAAAGAGAGAGAGAGAGAGAGAGAGAGAGAGGAGAGGAGAGAGTGAAATGGAAAGCAAAAGCAAGAGAAGAAAGAGAGACAGAGAGAGCAAGAGCAAGAGAGACAGAGAGAGCAAGAGAGGGCGGCCCAACAGAAGGGAGTTTTTATAGCCCAAGTCTAATGGGGTCTCTAGGTCTGCAAGCTGCCTTGTTGGCATAAGGGGGATTAAGTGTTCAGCCTTGAACGGGGGAGGGGGGGTTTAGTGCTCAGCCTTGAGTGCCCTTGAGTGTTCAGACTTGATGCAAACAGGTGATAAAGGACCAGTCAGAGGGGGGTTTGAGTGCATGAGTTATCCTACAGCTAACGTTTGTTCAGCCTGCCCTGCAGACAACTTAGTTCAGCCTGTCCTGCACCTAACAATTAGAATGCAGTCTACATTTACTTCTTACTTTTGAGCAGTTTTCAAGGACTATAAAAAGCATATTTTTATATGAAGGATCTGAAAAAAATGATTTATTTTAAAAATATGAGATTCCATGAAATTTTAAAACTTCTGTTTTCAGTAGTATCTTCTGGATTCTATAGTTGGAGGAAAAGGTACACAGATCAATTTAAATTGTGAATATTTCTGGAATATTCTTGTGTGAAAATAGAGCTGAATTTGGAAGATTAAATGCACGTTAGGCAAAATCCATGGGAATACTCCAAAGCAAAATGATAGGTCAGCAAACAAGAACCTGTAAGACTCAGTAATGGATTACAAATGTTACTGTGAATATTTCCTCTTTCAGAACTGGAAACATTAAATCATTTAAAATTAAGCCATTTTAAAAATGAACAAACTAGATTGTTAGAGGGTATGTCTACTCAAAATGTAGATTATTGCTAGGAATATTGGAGTAGGCAAATTTGGAGCAATTGAGACTATCTCTGTAAAACAGACAAATCTAATTTCCATGCCAAGAAATGTTTTTAGAAATTCTATTATATGGAAAATGTTATGGATGCAAAGAACAAGGCTTTGATCTATGATTTTGAGAAATTTATATGTTAAATGGAAAGGAGGGTCAAATTTCCTTAATTCACTGTTATGGTTTACATGTGCATTATCTCCCCCACACTCCTATTAATGCAGGAATATTAAGAGGTAAAATGATTGGATTATTAGAGCTATAACCTAGTTAGTTCATCCTAGTTTGAAAGGACTGACTAGGTAGTAATGGTAGGCAGGTCAGGTGTGGCTAGAAGAGGTGGGTCTTTAGAGGATGCTCTAGAAAGGGGCATCTTTTCTGTGGCTTCTTCTCCCACTGTCTCTACTATTGCCATGAGAAGAGTAGTTTTCCTCCATTGGGGTCTTCGCTCATCATGTACTGCCTCACCTTAAGCCCAGGTAAATGAAGTTTGCTATTGACTAAAGCCTTTCAAATGGCAAGCCCCTCCTGTCAGTTGTTCTTGTCAGCTATTTTGATGACAGCAATGAAAAGCTAACTAAAACAATAGCCTTCAAGCTCCTCCACCTTCCCAGGAAGTATCTTGTAAGTCCCTATGAGAACTACAAGCCAGGTGATAGAGGGCAGAGGAAAGTAGCAGACCCTGTTGGCTGGAGGGAGAAGTCATCTTGGGAGGAAGGGGTTTAGAGCTGGTAGTCAAGAATCCAGGCAGAGGACCCTACGTGAACAATTGGCATGAGGTGAAAATAGAAAGTATTTGGAGGAATAAGTTCAGATTATGGTTTGGTTTCCAAACAAGTAGAAGATGAAACAAGAGAAAAGTATGTACAAAAATAAATTTTAAAAAAATATACCAAAATGTATATACAATAAATACTATAATAATCATCCCTTATCTGTGGTTTCATTTAGATTTCAAATACCCACAGTCAACTGCAGTTCAAAAATATTAAATGGAAAATTCCAGAAATAAGCAACTCATAAGTTTTAAACTGCATGTCATTCTGAATAGCATGCTGAAATCTTGCTCCATTTACTCCATTCTACCTGATATATGAATCATCATGTTGTCTCTGATATACCTGTATATTAGTCAGCTTTTTGTTGCTGTGACAAAATACCCAAGAAACACAAAGGAGAAAAAAATTAAATTATGGCTCACAGTTTCAGAGGTTTCAGCTACCTCCTTTGTTTTTGGACTTGTTGTGAGGCATAATGGTGGAAGGACTTGGCTGAGCAAAGCAAAATTCACCTCACAGTGAAGCAGAAAAAGAAAAAGAGAGACAGAGGCCGGCCAGGGACAAAATATATATTTTAATGACATGTTCCCAGTGACCAGCCTCCTTAAACCAGGCCCCACCTTTCATTAATGCCACAGGCTTTTGACCATAGCCTTTAGCACATAGTCTTTGGGAGATATTTTAGAAGCAAGACATAACATTCTTCCTCTAGCTCCCAAAGGTTCATGTCCATCTCATAATGCAAATACATCCAGTCTGACTCTAAGAGTTCCCAAAGTTTTAACTATTCCAGCACTGCTTCAAAGTCCAAGTCCAAAGTCTCTTCTCAGAATGAAACTCTTCTTAGACTCAAACTCTTAATTATGAAAAAAATGAAAAACAATAATACAGGATAAATAGTCACATTCCGAAAGTGGCATAAAAAGAGGGATGGGATCAAAACAAAACCAAACCCCAGCAAGGGAAGCATTAAATCTTGTAGCACATGTTAGCATGGTGTGAGCTCCAAAGCACTTATAATCTCACTTTATGGCCTTGCCTACAGCAACCTACATGGCCTCTGTGTTGGCCTTGGCTTTCCTTGGTATCTGCATTCTTTGTATCTCCAAATTCCTGAGGTCTTCATTGCAGCTGGGACTTTACTTTTACAGTTTTATACATCATCTTGTTAGGGACTGCACGCAGGGACTCAGATCCTATCACATAATGCCTGACCTTTCAGGCCTTCTTTTGAAATCTAGGTGGAAGCCTTCCTGACTCTGTGAGTCTGCATACCTGCACAACTAGCACCATGTGGAGGATGCCAATGTCTGCTGCCAGTGGGAGCAGTAGCCTCTTTCACTGTAACTGCAGAAACCTCTGAGTGCTTGTATGGCTGAGTATGATGAAATGATTCCTCGAAAAACATCTTCCTAGGCAGCCTTGTGTGTACAAGGCACCCAGGGGCTCTCTTTTCAAAGAAGTCTTTCAAACAAGTTTGCACTTTTACACCCTTGAGGCTGAAACAGTGGGATGAAGGGCCTCGACAATCACTAGCCAGACATTTTTCCTATTATTTAGTGCAAAGTACTTGGCTTCTTTTTTATGGTACTAATCTCTTCAGCAACCACAACTTCCATGACCACAATTTTATATGTGTTTCTGGTCAAATTGCAAGTTTTCAGATCTCTCCACTCTACTTCTTGCTTTCACTGTAAACCTGGCTAAATGCAGCAAGTCACATCCATGCCACTGCCTGAATGCTGTGCTGCCTTGAAATTTTCTCTGCCAGATAAAACTAGTCCTTCACCTTTAAACTCAGACTCACACATAGTCTCAGGGCGTGGATAATATGCAAACAAGTTTTTTGTTTTGTTGATTGTTTTTTATTTTGGTTTGTTTTGTTTTTGCCTTACTCCAAGTTCCAATCTAATCCTCCTTTTCAGTTGAAACCTCCTGTCTGCTTTCCTAGTATCTTTCTGATCTTCCAAGCTCACACCAGAATCATCTGTTAAGCTCCACTTACAACATTCTAGGGATCCTCTAACTTGCATGTCCAAACATTTCCAAACCCCTCCTGCAAACAGTTCCAAAGGCTTCTGAGCCACAAGGTCACATCTAGTCACAGCAATGATTCCACTTCTTGTACTGATTTTCTCTGTTGTGATAAAATACTCATTTTAAAAAAAGAGAAAAGATTTATTTGGGGTTAGTTTCAGAGGTTTCAGTCTATGGTTGGTGGCTCCATTGTTTCTGGGCCTGTGGTGAGGCAGAACATCATGGCAGAAGGGTACAGGAAAGCAAACCTGCCTACCTCCTAATGGCTAGTAACTAGGACAAGATTGTGGGGGTGCAGACAAGATATGGCCTCAGTAACCCTCAGTAACCCACCTCCTCCATCCTTACCCCACTTCTCAGTAACACTGCAAGCTGGTGACTTAAGTCTTTAGCACATGACCTGTGGGGGACATTTTGAATCCAAACTATAACACCATGCTTAAACACTACCTGCCCCTTAGTCACATAGTCTTTCATTTATCAGATAAACTATCTTAGTATCTCAGTGCTTGTGTTTAAGTTGCCTTCACACGGTAGCCAAAGACAATGTAACAATGCCTACTTCATTCACCTCATTTCACCTCAGCAGTTGAACATTATATCATTATATACCTCTCTCTGGAAGGGTATGCCTCCATCCTTTGGTAAGAGAAATTTCCCTTTCTTTAAATGTTCATGGTTGTAACACCTAACACATGGGGCTACTGTAAATACTTGGAATGCAAAGAATAGGAATAACTCCTGGAAATTTCTAGTTTTATACTTAAAGGTGCTTTGATGGGATAATTTGATGAGCAGTAAAATTTAACATGTATGATGACCTGGACAGACTGTGACATACACTTTGACATTCTAATAACAAGCCCTGTAGATAAGACACATGGAGAATTTAAGGCAATAGACATCATAGGTATCTTGGATAAAAGGCTAATGTTAGTAAATCACACAAAGTTGAAGGTAACTTTCTGCCAATTCTAAAGATGTTAGATGTATGGCAGTGGATATTTTTTAGCATGTTTCTAGTCACTTTTGCTTTACTTTTAGATGGATGATGACAGAATGGACTACATGTTCACGAACTTGTGGAAAAGGCATGCAGAGCAGACAAGTGGCCTGTACCCAGCAACTGAGCAACGGAACTCTCATTAGAGCAAGGGAGAGAGATTGCACTGGGCCTAAGCCTGCCTCTGGCCAGCGCTGTGAGGGACAGGACTGCATGACCGTGTGGGAGGCAGGAGTGTGGTCCGAGGTGCAGTACACAACCGATTCCTTTCCCTTTTCTTTCTCTGACCCTTATGTTGTACAAAGTCATATTGTATCATATCCAGAATCTCTCTGCATCAGAGGTGATGTTTTTAATATTATGCATTACTTTCACTGATAATAAAAGGAATGAACATAAATAATTTTGAAAAAAGACAGATATTTACTTTTTATTTTATAAATATTATAAAACAATCAATAGAAAATTTTATATACATTTTAGAATTTTGCTACCTCATTTATATACTGTGAATATACTCTCAACTACACACACATTAAAATACACATTTGACTCATTTCATATTGCCAAACATTTAAAAGGGAAAGAAAAAAGGAAATTAACATTTAGCAATCACCTTATAAGAGCAGTGAGTATGCTTTTACTTCTTATTTATTGCATCATGTATACTGAATGACCAAGAATGCAAGAAACTTAATAGCATTCACCATTTTTTAATGATGGCAATACAACTCAGAGAATTAGCTTACCCAAAAGTCCTACCTAAGTAGTAGAGCTTGGATCTCAACCAGAACTGTCTCACTCACTTACACTAACTTGTTTTCTACAACCTACAGGTATAGTTCATGCTGATCAAGAGTATTTTATTTTCTATTACCATGATGCATATCTTTGAATAATAATAATAATAATAATAATAATAATTGTCACTCATTACATCTATTTACTGACTTCTCTGGAGTATTTTAGTGTTGAGTGTGTGGGTGCATAAATCCAAACAAAACCTCTTACATATTTATACTCATACCCAGGTCCAAAGACACATGCATGTATGCACACACATACTAAAATCACCTATCTACTTGATTATTAGATAAGATCTGAAAATGATACATAGAAAAGTAAGTAGCTACTCTTTTAAGATTGAGTGACATAAATACTGCACTTTCTAAGTATTCTTTAAGTAATTCAACCTCCCTGAAAGCACATTTGCAGCAAGCTCATTTTTCTGTTTTCTTTCTTTCCTTGGTTTTAGCTTTGTGTTCAATACATTTTTTTTTCATTTATAATGTGACCTTTTGAAAATGAATGCCATATCAGGCTTTACACTGAAATGAATCCGTTCAATATGGAGAGAGGATTCACAAGAACATGAGAGAAACAAAAGTACCTCACACCCAGCCCAACTGTGACATTTTTACAAGCTCTTTAGGAAGAAATAGGTCAGAAATAGTCTACAATTCAGATTTTTAGCAACAGCTAAGGAGAAGTAATGTGTCACAATGGAATATGCCAATTTTAAAAAGTCTGTCTTCATTTAATTTAAAACTTGATTATATGAATCAGAGATAATTTTAATCATAAAACCTAAAAACACAAGGATTAAAATGCCAAATCACAATATATGATCCACTCAAAAGCCCAATGTAGTTAAATGCAAACTAAAAATTATGAGACAATTACTAACTTGTGCAAGATTCAGTGTATTTCAAATGTCATCAGTTCCAGGTGCAAGCTTCCAGCAACACAACTGTTGCTAAAACCTATAAAAGTGAGTGGAGTGGTTAGCTGAGTTTCTGCCTCTGAATGTAGCTATGAGCAATGATCTGGGCACAAGCATGGTTATCCCTATGTGACATCATTGTTAAGTATGTCCTGCAACTCTTTCTTTGGACCTTTTTCAGAAACAAATATAAACTGGAATTTCAATTAACTGTTTTTGCTACACTCCAACCACTGCCTTCCTCCCAACCCAATACAGTTTTGGTGTCCACATCCAGGTCTTCACTGAGCCTACCATTGAAAAGTAGGGATGATCTGTGCATGTTCCATAATCGAGAGCACAAATATAAATCAGAGAGTAATTTGTACCCAGAATACGTGAAATACACATGTATGCTCTAATCTGTTATCTCACCAACATCAAGAATCAGATATTTGTGAAATTACCTGAATTGCTTTTGAACCAAATTTTATTTTCAATCCACACAACCATTTATAATAATGATCGACAGGTGTGTATGATTATTTATTTAAATAAGTTGTCCCCTTTTAGTAATATTTTCTCTATTTTTAGTTTTCAGAAATGTTGGTTAAACAAATGGCATTCTGTGAGAAATGGTCATTTTTCACTAACCTTTATTTAGGTTAAATGAAGATATTCATTACATCATTGTATAGAGAAATCTGATATTAATTGAAGATTGGTATTTTACTTTTTTTGTGTTTGTTTGATTTCTGGTCTTGGATATTGAACTCTATCACTGAGCCACATCTTCAGCCCTTTGCATTTTTGATTTTGACTCTGGGTCTTGCTTAGGGCTTCACTAAATTGCTGAAGCTGGCCTTAAGCTTATGTTCCTCCTGCCTCAGCCTCTTGAATCAATGGGATTACAGGCTGACACCCCCTCATATGGCAGTACTTTACATTTTGATGGTGGTATATTATTTGTCTTTTTTTTAATTTTTTTATTTGTTGATAAACCTTTATTTTATTTATTTTTATGTGATGCTGAGAAACAAACCCAGTGCCTCACACTTGCCAGGCAAGTTCACTACCACTGAGCCCCAGCCCCAGCCACTTATTTGTCTTTCTTAAATTGATTCTTTCTATACAATGGTTGAGAGTTTGTTTGTTTTCCTGTGGTGGGAGGGTAGTACCGGGAATTGAACTCAGGGGTACTCAACCACTGAACCACATCCCAGCACTATTTTGTATATTTCTCACAGGATCTCACTGAGTTGCTTAGCACTTTGCTTTTTGCTGAGGCTGGCTTTGAACTCCTGATCCTCCTGCCTCAGCCTCCAGAGCCACTGGGATTATAGACATGCAACACCTCACCTTGCAGTCCAGTGTTCTTGAATCCATTTTTTTTTTCTAACACTCTATCTTCAACTCCATCTGGTATTTGATATGGCTTCTTAGCATGGAGTTACCCATCAACTTGTCCTTAATTGTTTTGCCTGGCTTTTATGTGGATCATGGTCCCATTATAGATGGTTAGAAACACTAACCAAACACTTAACAAAAATTCGTCTATGGTCTGTGTCTGCTAACCAGCAACTATTTTCACATCTCCCATGTCACCTTTCAGTGCTCTGTCAAGTGTGGAAAAGGTGTACGCCATCGGACTGTGCGATGCACTAACCCAAGAAAAAAATGTGTCCTCTCTACCAGACCCCGAGAGGCTGAAGACTGTGAAGATTATTCAAAATGCTATGTATGGAGAATGGGTGACTGGTCAAAGGTGAGAAGCATCCTGTATATTCCTAAAATAATCAATTTCAATAATGTCAGTATTATTCCAAGTACTACAACCATGTAGTATAGAATTAGAGGGTTATGGAGAATACAGGTAAAAATCGTGGGGTGTAGAATAGTTTATACTCAGGTTCAAATCCTGTTCATCTGTCTGTGATCATGATCTCTATAAAAATGTGTTACAGATTAAAGAAGATTTCTTAGAAAGGCACATGCAACCATATTTGGCATAAAAGAAGCCCTAAAAAAATAATAACTATTATTATTATTTTGTTTATTTATTAGTTTTTATTAACAGTTCTTTCTTAGAATATTTTTTCATGAAACTGATCTAATAGTCAAAATACTGTAAAATAAGTAAAATAAAAATATGATCAAGGGAAGCAGTAGCAAAACCAAGTAAAGGAACTCATATCTTAATATGTAAAGGCAATCTTTTTTCCCACCAATGTTTTGGGTTGTGTATAGTAAAAATATAAAGGAACAGAACTCTTGAAATCCTCTGGTCAATTCAAGCAGATACAACTCATTCATCAAGTGACAAGTAAGTTTAATTTCACAATAATAATGTTTACTTAAAATTTATATAAGAGAAGCCTCACATATAGTTAATTGAGCTGTAGAAAATAACAACACATTTACTTGGTAAAGTACTCACAAACCCCTATTTTAAGATGAAATTCTGATTAGATCCGGGTGAAAACAACTCTAAAATACTACTGTTCATGTAAGTATGAATTAAATCATCCTTTATTCGGCTATGATATTATATACCTATTATCATGGAATCATTAAATTCTATGACATAGGTGATGCATAATAGATCTTTTCTCCTTCCCATTTTTTTAATAAATGGAAAAAAGTAACAGCTGCTGGGATAT